AAGAAGCTAAAGTGTTGATGGGTGAAGTACATCAAAGGATATGTGGAGCCCATCAATCGGCTTATAAGATGAAATTGATTATTCGCAGGACCGGATATTTTTGGCCAACAATACTAGAAAATTATTTTAAATATTATAAGGGGTGTCAGGATTGCCGACGTTTTGATAATATTCAGAGATCTCCCGCATCAGCTATAAATCCAATAATCAAACCATGGCCGTTTCGAGGATGGGGAATTGATTTAATCGGCCAGATCTTTCCACCTTCAAGTAAAGGACATAAGTTTATATTGGTAACAACAGATTACTTCACTAAGTGGGTAGATGTCATTCCTTTAAAGACGGTAACCTCAACGAACATGGTTGATTTTGTCAAGGAACATATTGTGTATTGTTTTGGGATTCCTCAAACTATTACTACTGATCAGGGGACAATGTTCACATCAGAAGAGTTCAAAGATTTTGCTGCCAGTATGGGAATTAAGTTATTAAATTCTCAGGCTAATGGTCAGGCAGAGGCGTCCAATCAAATTATGATTAAGCTGATCAAGAAAAAGATCGAAGAGCAGCCAAGGAAGTGGTATTCAACGCTTAATGAGGCACTATGGGCATATAGGATGGCCTATCCTAGATCGATTAAAACATCGCCTTATGAACTTGTGTATGGTCATAATGCAGTCCTTCCTTGAGAGATTCAAACTAGATCAAGACATGTCACGTTGCAAAATGATTTGTCAGCCGAAGTTTACAAGAATCTTATGATGGATGACTTAGAAGACTTAAGTTGCCATCGGCTACGTGCTCTTGAGAATATCGAAGCCAATAAGCTAAGGATTGTGAAGTATTACAATAAGAAGGTCAAGAGCAAACAATTTTCTGAAGGAGACTTGGTCTGAAAGGTGAAATTACCGATCGGGTCAAGAGATAGCAAGTTCGGCAAGTGATCACCTAATTGGGAAGGACCTTATCGGATTAAACGTTGTGCGTCTGGCAATGCTTATATTTTGAAAACACTAGGAGGAGAAGAGGAGTTTGACAGAGCAATCAATGGAAAGTATATAAAGAAATACTATCCTAGCATTTGGATTAATACTTGATAGCCGATTTGTTTAGTCATCGGCTCTAATAGCCGGTACCAGAAGGTTACCGCCTCTAGGTCAAAAATAGACCTGAAGGGGTAAAAGCCGATACGATAGGTATCGCCTATAGGGCAAAAGAGGAGTCACTTAAAACAAAGAAATTGTTTGCTAGCTTCTCCTATTACAAACTAAGGGCCGGAGAACACTTTGTTCACTATGTCTTCGGCCTGGGAAGCGAGGGCTATGGAGTTGGCGGTGTTAAAGAAGTCCTTAACCAGGCTCTCATGGTCCTCAGGGTGTTCGGTGGCTAGGAAACCATGGGGAAGAAGTCGACGCTCGTGGCCAGAGCAAGCTTGCGCAACAGCCAATGCCATGGCATCACCACGACGAACACCGTGAAGGGTAACTTCTTTGACGCGGGTTGGGACGTCGTACAGGCGAACCACCAGCACGGCACCCCTGGCGTTGACGAATCCTGGCACATACTGTGCAGCTGATTGAAGGCTTTCCAACGGGGCAGATAAGTCTGGAAAGATTCAAGGAAGGGATAATCAAGATCTTGAAGACAGCACTAAAAGAAACAAAGAATTGTGATGGATATCTCACTCATAATTCTGGCCTCGGCCTCGGCCAGCCTCGCTTGAGTGAAGTTGGCCCGATGTTATGAGATGATGAGAGCGTCCTGCAGCGCATTCAGATGAAAATCCATCCGCCCAAGATCACGGGTTGCATTCTCCTGGTGACGAAGACGCTGGTATGGGGGCACAGACTTGTCAAGGGCCTCTTCGGCAGGTCTCTTGCCGTTCTCCAAGTCTTTGAGCCTATTAGAAAGCAAAACACACCGAAGGCACAGAAGGTTTGGTACGAAGCAGGTTGTTATTCGATCCACAACCATGGCCCGTATATATAGCCTAGGAGATGAGAAGATAGACTTCGTTAGGGGTATGGAATTGAAGTTGGTTATGGAAACGTATCAACACTCCAAAAATTCAGGGAACGATTCACAGAAACACAACGGATTTAGACTTACTGCTTCCCATAATTACAGATACAGTGGGATTGATACAAAGGGTTTACATTGACCGACGATCGCCCCACCAAAACTTTCTTGGATTGAAGGAAGTCTGGATCCCTACAAGGCCGAAGGTCATCATGAACCGAGTCATATCGGCCTGCTGATAGAAGTAGCATCAGGGGAGAGAAAGGGCCGCCTGCTAAAAAGATGCCCATATATCCAACCGATTTCTCGGTATGAGCACTTGATAGAGTGAACAAGGGAAAGGTGTCCACACATTTGAACCATTGTAAACACTAGAATAGCTCTGCGCTAATGGTGAGAAAACTCAGGTGACATCATAAGAATTCTTCTAACCGCAATAGTTGATCCTCTTGCTCGACAAGGCGCTGAAATGAGCGACACAATCGCCCTATGTACAAGAATTCTTCTAACCACTCAAGACCCTCATAGTAAGGAATTAGACCATGGAGGGTCTAGCAGAGCCAAGGGCACTCGAGGAGGCAAGCAGAAGGAAAACATAACTGAGTCATTGGGTTGCTCTCGCCAGGGTCGGATAAGCATTTATAGTCGGTCTGGAAAATTGAATCCAAGCGCCCGTGAAGCAATAGTGCTCTCGTGAAGCTTGGTAGGCCCCAGATCAAGGTTCTCTATCCGTGACTACGGACCCATCGGAGGTACAGACGTGGTAATTTTAGAATAAAATTACTTTTATCCCAAAATTAGGGGACATGTGTTTACACCAAAATTTAGGAAAGAAGAACGCGGGAACTCAAGGCTTACAAAATTGTATCATGAAGGGATCGATCGGGTGTGAATCGAGGTCAGCTGGTTTTGATGCAGTGTCGGAATCGGCTAATTTATAGATGACATCAGCAGACAATATCGACAGACTAAGTACGGATGGCGTCGAGGGGGGAAGCATGTCGGACTCTACAAAAAGGAAAATATTAGGGTCAAAGTTATCTTAAGTTAGGAATGTTTTCTCTTATACCAAAGATTGTGATGAGTCATACTTGAGTAGGATTCATGCTTAGGTTCCGGGTATAAATATTGGACCCCGGCTATTGTAAGAAAGAATTCAATCAATCAATACCAATTATTTTTTTCCAACTTCACGCCAACCCTTAGGAGTAGGAGTACTGTAGATTTCGGCGAGTTCTTCAACAAGTAGGGCTACATCGATCCGGTCGACCTCTGGCTTGTCTGTAAGTACCGTCATGGCTTATACTTTTGTTTGTAAGGCTGCATCGGTTCGGCCGACCTCTTACGAGCTTTAGTATAAGTTAGTTATCCATCCTTATCTAGTTCAAGTATGGCTGCATCGGTTAAGTTTGAGCTCCACTGCCCGAATTAGATTAAGGTCAAGTTATTGGCTCTACCTAAGGGTGGCATCATTCGGGTAGATTCATTAAGTTACTGATCTTGCTAATATTCTTGTTGTCATCAGTTTTAGCAATATCAACCTGCCCGATCAAGATCGATCTAGATCGGCCTCACATCATTTTAGTCCATCATTTATTTTGTCATATTGCGATGGTTCTTACTTTAAACGACGGATTATGTTTTATCGGCCATTCTACTTCGATCTTGATCGTGCATAGTATACGGCTAAGGCATGTCTGATCTTGAGAAGGTTTACTAGCTAGTTGAATCTGGTCTATAGCTCGCTATTATGGCTGTAACGATCCGGTCGATCCTCACTGTTAGCACTTTAAATCGGAGTATGCTAATTGGTAGATTTGCTTTCGACCAGGCGTGACCTTAGTTGTTTGCTATGCCTGCATCGGCTAAATAGCCGATTGCTAGTACTTTAACGTTTATAGTGTGTCTTCATAATTCTGTTAAACGTGAATATATCTCTTTATTTTAAACGTTTGATCTGTTATCTTTATCATGGTTGCCATCGATCCGGTCGAACCCCACTGTTAAGGATAGCATGTTGATTTGATGAGTTTATAGATCTGTCCACATTAAACAGTCGATTGTTCACATGCTGTAATCCATTTTCTACCTGAATTGGCTATTTTAGCCGATTCGCCTGTGCTTTCACAAATATGACACGCTTTCATGAACCTGTTGAGGTATGGTCGGTTCTGTGGATTTTCTGGTTCTAGACTATCATCATCATCATAGCTGCATCGATCCGGTCGAACCTCACTGTTGACGGTAATAGATTAGATCTAAACGGTTTGTAGATCTGTCTATATCAAATAGTCGATTGTTTGCGTGTCATATCTCTTTTCACCAGATTCATTGGCTCTACACCATGTATTGATCAAATCTAATTTAGCCAGTGACTTATCTTTGACGCATACATATTAATAGCTTAAGGGAAAAGACCATTAAAACTGAGCGCATCGTATTCGTTGCCATAAAATCAATCATGACCCGCGAGCGTCACGGTCCTTAACAGTCGATTTCTTCTCGTATCGGCTATTTAGTCGATTTTTCGGTCTCGCTGCTCCCGAAGCGGCACACTTAGAACTGTCTGGGCAAAACCAGCATGTTCCGAACCTAAATTACTGATAAACTTTCTCTCTTTGTCAATTGCAGGTCAAATTGACTGGCACGCCCTTGGGAATTCGCAGGATCGACTGGTCCTGCGTTGAAGCCAGACAGATCTGCAGATCGTTCCGGCTTGCTGCGTGTCCACCCGGCGCGGCTACCACGTTTTCACGCCGACAGGACCAATAGGAGAGCATTTGAATGTACTATTGTGTCTCTCTACTGATTTATAGAGGCTCTGAAGTCTATCTCCTCCAAAGGCTGTTAGCTGCAAAGGAGCATGACTAGCTGCTACAATTAATTTATGCAACCAAATAGCTGCTACTGAAAAAGTCAGAAAAACACAGAGCATTATCATAGTAGAAATATTTAATGCTTAATGAAGGCCCGGATATTACTTTATCATGTTGGCGGCGGCGTAGATCATCAATTTGACATTTCAGTTGATTGAACCTACGTCCATCTTCTTCTATCTGCAAAGTATATGCAACAGATTATACAGTACAATACCACAAGGATCCAAGACAAAGAGGCTGAAAGCATAAACATAGCAGCGCAGCCAAAATTTCATGCGGTGCAGATAATTGTGACTACTCAAATCATTCCCCTAAACCAAAACAATGTCACTCACTAGGGAGGAGTTATATTTTTGGGGTTTGGCCAGGGCTAGGGGCATCTCATTTTTCCTTGTCCTTGGCCCGCACAGCAGTCGGTAGGAGTCCTCTTTTCCCCTTGGTTAGGTCAAGGTTGTTCAATGCTTTCGTTTTTTTTACGAAGGGTTGTTCCATGTTTTCAAGAGTGTGCATGTAACCAAACACCTAATTGTGTACATGTGCGTGTGTTTGTCAAGGCTCTTGCCCCTTTTTCTGCTTAATAACACTCCTTCCATCTAATTTTGATAAGCGCACAAGGGTATAAAAAAGTTTCTGAAACCAATTGTCCTATAGGAGATGCAGGATTGCAGGCGCCCATTGTGCCTCAAGTGAGACGGACAACGCTTTGATTTTGCTCAGAGATTGAATGCACTGTGACCCAACCACTCCATCTGCCCTGGGGTCCAAGCTGAATAAATCCCAAGTCGTTGAGTAGCATGGATCACTCAGAACATTGCCATGCTACCGTGCGGGAGTTGGCAAGCCCAGAGCAACAGTTTTGAGACGCGTGGCGATGGCCAAGTGTGCTGGGCGCTGAAGCGACGATGCGCCGTACTACAATGCCAATTAGTAATCTCCTTGGTCGGAGTCCAGAGCTTAGGCGCCAACTAAAAGCAGATGGAGTATAATGATATACAACTCTCCATGGGGAAAAAATTATATGGTGCAGATAGTTGTGACTATTCAAATCATTCTTTGATTGATGGTTTGACATATTTCCCTCTATATGCCATATTGCCATATCGTTTTCAGCTTAAATGAGATTTGACTTAGGTCTTGGTTCTCTTTTATATTGCCATCAAGTATTATGGTTGCTTTCTAAACCTTTTTGTTTCAAACATGCAGGAGAGTTGCGTATCATCATTATATTAAGAAGAAAAGTCTAGACGACTCATAGAACCCCTTAAAAGGGCATGAGCAGCTTTCTAAACCTCAATAGCTATTTTTTTTTGTAATCAACTTAGAACCTTAAAGCTCCAATTGTGGATCACTTCACTCCTTTAATGCTTTTTTCCTCGAGCTGGCAGGAGAACTATGTATCATTATATTAAAGAAGAATTACAAGGGTAAGGATCCTTACAACACGCACCGAAGAACAACGGGCATTGTCCGTTGGCAACAGAGACACATCAATGTAGTTCGAGAAAAAACAGAGACAAATCAATGTCACTGTTAAGTTGGCTAGTACGCTTCCTGAGATGGTGCTCAACATGACACAGTTGTGCAGAAAGCTGGTTTTCTTGTGGTACATTTGAGAATCATAAAAAAAAACTGCAATGAATAAGCCACTCTTTTGGCAGACCTAGTTTGGAAGGCAAAAAATTATAAATACCTCTTTTCCGATGTCACCGATGTTTTTAATAATGCCCTGTAGTTCTTCGGATAATTTCCTTTCTTCCTCATTTAACCTGGATGACACAAAGCAGAATCAAACATCCAATAAGCAAACCTGGTGTCACCTAAAGCAAAAGTAATTAGGAGGAAAAACTACCTTGTAGCATTTAATTGGGCAGAGTTTATCTCCTGCTGTAATTTCCGTATGCTATCCTCAACTTGAGATACTTCAGCCTTCGATTTCATATAGAAAGGATTCAAATGAGATAGAATAATGGGAAGTTCCAAAAGAAAACTGAAGGTTCCAAAGCCAAATAAATTAGGGCGTACCCAGTGCAGAGAGCTCCCGCTCTGTGCGGAGTCTGAGAAAGGGTGTCAGTGGCAAGCCTTACTCTCGTCTGTGCAATGCGAGGAGACCGAGACTCGAACCCGAGACCTTCCGGTCACAGACGGTAAGACTCTACCGCTTGTACCAAGCCCGACAAAAGAAACCAAAAGGGATGTCACACATTAGTGTTGACTGCTGGAGTATATCAAATCAAATATATTAATGAAAGCCTAAAAATTCAAATCCCAATAAGGGGTATATGCCAGCGTAGGATATACAGCTGTGGTTCAGGCCCACCAACCAAGTATATTACATCCAATAATGAATATCTTGGGAATGTAACTGACAGATCCCACCTAATCTATGTCCAGGGTTTCCTAATCAGCACTAGAGCAGGGGCAACACAAAACAGAAGGTAGAGCCTTGGCTAACAAGGAGAAAACTTCTATCGAGTGAAGACACGGACTAGTATATTATTAGAGATATGTGCTATATAGTCTAATAAATATTACTTGTCCAAGTAATATGTGTTAGACTACATATCTCTAATATATATGAACACAGCAGGAGGAGACCTTCAGGGGACAAGGAATTCTGAATCGAACTCAAGACCTAACCTTGTTGAGATCACCATCCCGATCTCACCAAGATTGTAGTCTAGCAGCATCAAGCCCAGACCCTTGTAACTAAGTATAGACATCTACACTGTAACCAGTTCATCAATAATGAAGAAAAAGAACACATGACATAGGGCTATTATACTTCAGGAGGCCTGAGCCTGTATTCATCATGTGTCTCATGTTTGGGTATTGGACTACGATACCCTAATCCCAAAGGTAACCCATTTACTATAAATACTATTTACAATATCTAAATCATCGACAAGTCTGGGCTGGAGAGGCTCCCGCGTCATCCAAAAGGGCAACTCAGGTGGCACCCCAAATCCGCCGCCGCCGCTCCCCCGCTCTCCTCTCCCTGCTTCCTCCGTCGCTGGAGTAGACGGCCAAAAGCCTGGCAGACTGCAAGAATGCCGGCAGACCCCATAGCGGCCTATTCGTTCGATTTCGTGGAGCTTCACAAGTGGCTATGGCGACATGGGGAGGCTCTTCTCTCTTGCGTCGCCCGGCGGGCGGACTCCCCCGCTGCTCCACGGTAGGGCAGGGCTAGATCCTCCCTCTCCCTTGCTGCCAGCAACTCAGGCTACTGGTTCAGTTTACGAGGAAAATTGATATAAATCAAATTGTGATTCAGAGGATCCTATGAATAAGGGGATCTCTCCAAGGCAAATCCAAGCACAAATCAATTGTAGGTGCACTCAAATCCATTTCATCTGGCTGTTGCATCACTCTTATGCTTCCCTCCCTCGGGTCATTGACAGCCCATCGCTTCTCTCCCTCCAGGATAATATCCCCTCCGCTCTTCTACCCAATCTCATTGCAGCAGCAGCTGCAGAAAGAGCAGATACAGATCTTAATTAGCTGCAATTCAATGAAGTATGCTGGCAAGATGGTAAGTCAAAGACTAGTCTCTTCACTCTTGGCAGCTTGACTCCAGTAACGACTTAATAACCATAATATCAAGCATGTATCTATGTGCAATGGCAGAGCATGATACGAAATCAAGGTGGGGCCAACACAACGGGCGGGCAAGTGTAGGATGTCAACTGATCAATGCGTAGGAGGTAACAGCCAGTGGACGCAAGCATGAGAATATGTGAGGACTAACGTGCGGTTGAAGATGGTATGGACCATGTTGGATTAATGAGCTGCCTCAGCTTGCTACTCGCCGATGACAAGCTTTGGCAGGCTTCTTGAATGCAGAGCCTTCCAATGAATGTCTCCTTTACTAAGATGGTGTCAACCATTATTCTGCCATTGATGCCTAATGCGATAACACAGTAATTAGAGCTTAATTGTCTTTTGATTTTATACTGAGCTGAAAAGGCTTTAGACCACATAGGCCGCTGTGTCCTGATGTATTGTTTGATTGTGCTCTTCTGGCATTAGCATGTTGGTGCTTTGTGCTTGTGCTCCTTGAATATGTGACTGAAATAGAGGGAAATTCATTTCCCTTAACTACTTCATCTTCCCCGGATCGGACCTGCTCTTCCCCGTCCAGTAATCCTGCTAGTTCTAGCCACAAATCCATCCAGGAACTTTGAGTACCTGCCATATCATCTCATGCAGCATTACCTGGTGCTAAGGAGTCGTTTTGCATCAAGAGGAGTGGGAGGTATTGGCCTTAATTATGCTCCGCCAGGGCCTATGTGCATGCATTTACCACCTTCAGTGCCATTACACCATACAGTTGGATGCCTGCATTGATGGCCACACCTTGACAATGTTGCTCAACCCAAGTCCATGCAGAACCTCATCACTGGCAATCATGTGGCTGTAGCAGCAATGAGATAAACTTAGGTGTAGCAGCAATGTCTAACTGCCCATACACATCCGAGCTATTTTGCACCAACTTCTATGTGCCCCTCTTGGCAGCTTAAACCTCATCACTATTGTCTAATCAGTTAACGAATTTGAGGCATCTTCTCATTTAACTGTTGCTATATACTAGTTTGCATGGGTGCCTAGCCATGAGCTGTCTGTAACTGAGTACAGTGAGTTGTCCAAGGAAATCATGGAATATAATATGTAAAATTATGAAAAAAAATATTCCATAAGAAATTGATCGACAGAAAAGAGACATGATATCTGGGCGCAGGCACCCTTGATCTTGTAAGTTAATTGTTTATGGTGTGATGCACCATCCTTAGTTGGAATTTTCAATAAAGAAACAAATTGTGTAAGATATGGGTGCATGTGCACCTTAACTTTTTTTTCACTTATTTTCAAGATATAAGGCCAAGATCTGAACAAAGACAATCAAGGTCATGTGTGGCTGGATCTATTAATGGACGATTGTGCACAACTCCAAGAGTTGGGTAGTGTTTAGTTCCAGAAAATTTTGCAAAATTTTTCAAGATTTCCCGTCACATCGAATCTTTGGACGCATGCATGAAGCATTAAATATAAATAAAAAATAAAACTAATTACACAGTTTAGACGAAATTCACGAGACGAATCTTTTAAGCCTAATTAGATTATAATTGGACACTAATTGCTAAATAACAACGAAAATGCTACAGTGTCATTTTGCAAAAAAAATCGGCATCTAAACACAGCCTTGATTAATTCCATACCCAACTACAACCAATCATGTTGGCAACTAGCCGTTTTACTTTTCTAAAAGAAAAGTGTCAAATACACTGGTGATTCTCAAACTTGTCCTAAGGTGCCATCTAGGTCCATGAACTTGCATATTGGCATATTGCACAAGCGCATCCCTAAACTTGCTAAGCTATGTCACCTAGGTCCATGAACTTGCAGACTTTAGAAGCATGTCCCTCATCTTACTAAATGGTGTCAGCTAGGTCTAAAGTGTTAGACATATGAGCAATTATTGGTTTATTTTAATCCAATTTAGATACACTACGTTGAACAGCAGTGTCCACTTGCATAACTATCACAACTATAACCAATGAAGAAGTGGATCACTTTTTATGGACTCGCTCAGAACGATCTTCATGGCCTATTAGAAATAGCAGGTGCTCTGGTGCAATCCCTACCAACAGAAAAGGATTACAATTGGGTTGGTAAATCGATAGTCATACTTTCAATAACGGACAAATTCAACATGGGCTAATTCTTGTGCTACTAGTCCCACTCAGGTATACATCTCTATGTTAGAGATGTCTTTTTTCCAAAAATAGATTAAAATAAATACATAGTTTCTCATATGTCTAACAATTTGGACCTGGATGACACTATTTAGTAAGATCAGGGATGCACTTATACATTCTGCGGTTCATGGACCTAGATGACACAGATTAGCATGTTTAGGGTTTGCACTTGTGCAATCTGCAAGTTCATGGACCTAGATGGCACCCAACAAATTTAAAGACCGCCAGTGTATTTTACTCAAAAGAAAAATAAATTTAGAAGAAAAAAGATTCACTTGAGTTTGTTGCATATGCTGCAGCTCAAATTCATGAACTTGCTCCTCTAGCTGTCTCAAACGGGCGTTCATTTTATTCAACACTTGTCTTCCACGAGCATGCTCTTTATCAAGATTCATCTTTTCACAGCCTGCAACGGAACATAAATATTAAGAAGACAGCTAACAAAGTAATGGCGCAATCATATCTAATACCTAATAGGAACAAATACAATTTCAAATTTTCAGGAAATTTGTCACACAAATAAGACAATTTTCACATAATTTGCAACATGTAATTCTAATTTACTTCAATGTGTAACCTATTGAATTTCTTAAATGATGCATTTATCATAGAAGATGTGGATGCTCATATAAGCACATTCAGATGGCAAAAGTAAGGAGGCAAGTGATTGCCTGCAAGTGATAGATGTGAACAATATCATATGACTAGTGGTAAAACGTGGCAACTATCCATGACCTAAAAGTAAAGCTTAGATCATAATTCACACCAAAATGAGAAGTATAACCAGTAAACTGAAACATGTGAAGTATGGGAAATTGCAGTGTAGTGCAATTTCATATTTCATATTCATATATATAAGGCCAGGAACATGAATACAATATACATCTATTATGAAAACCACATGCAATAGCACCAAGGTTGTTATTTACGATTCATGATGTGTTTAAGTAATTGTTGTAAAACATCAGAAACAATGTATACAGCAATACTGAAAGCTACTTAAGCCAACAACATACCTCGCAAATGACATGATCCATTTTTTCCTTCATCCTCCTTGCTTCCTGTGTCTTCTCCAAAAAAGATCTAAAATTTTCTTTCTTCAACATAAATTCTTTCCTCAGTTCCTCTATAATGGCCTAAAAAAAAGGGCGTACCCAGTGCAGAGAGCTCCCGCTCTGTGCAGGGTCTGGGAAATAGTGTTAGTGGCAAGCCTTACCCTCGCCTGTGCAATACGAGGAGACCGCGACTCGAACCCGGTATAATGGCCTACAAGATAAGGAAAAATCAACTCAGTTAACAAACCATTTCAACATTTCAGACCTGGCACACCTGAACTATTAATTTAGCTAGCACACAAACTGCATGACTGCAACATCCTCAGGGAGTAGGGAAAATTGTAACATAAACTACTGGAAGGAATGAAACTTGAACCATGGCAACTCCATTTCTACAGGTTAGTTTGTAAATGAATAAATGATGACTTCAAACTGTCATGAAATAACCAACTGCAAATGTTTTAAACAAATTCAGAAGATCAATGTTCATAGCCATTACGAACTTTGGTATTATACCTTGCATTGCAATGTAGAAGCTCTACTTAGCTTACCAAAATTTCTACATAGCTTAGATTGAAGTCCACTCCATTCATTATTACAAATATCATACATGACCATTCAAATGTATTAAAGTGTCCTTGAATTCATCCTTTGATCTAACAAAACTATGAGTACAATACAAGCCAACAAATTAGCAGTCTATTATGAATTTATATTTGGTAAAATGCTGACTGACAAACATGAAGTTCTTCCAGCGTTACTGGTACACAACTAGAGACTGAGTAAACTTAGGCAGTAAGATAACAAAAAAAAAATATCACAACATACATAGAATAGGACTGCTCTAAGAAAAGTGAGACAGAATTGTTCCCCTTAAAGTATCACTTACTGTATTTTGATCAATTCGTTCTTGGCATGCAGGGATACTATCGGGTTCATAAACCCGGGGTCCCTAATGGGCCCGCTTCCCAGCAAAAGCTCGGCCCAGCAGACGACGTTGCGAACGACGAGCAACTCCTGGGGCGGCCCAAATGCCTAACGACAGGCCGGAAGAGCGATCCAGTCTCCGACCAGAAGGCCTGGCCAAGGAGGAGACGGTACTCGCTTCCGACTCCGACCCGCTTCTCCGACCGGAAGACCTGGCCAAGGAGGGGACGACGCTCGCTTCCGACTCTGACCCGCTTCTCCGACCGCCCGCATCCTGGAAGGTCCGATCCAGACACACCCCGATGCCAACCTAGCGCTCGGGGGCTCCGACCTCGGTGCCTCCGTGACGACGTCGCCCGCCGACGTCGCCGTGGTAGCACTCGATCAAGCCGACTGGCGAACGCCGCTACTCGCCTACCTCCTCAAAGAGGTTCTCCCACCCGAAAGGACTGAAGCGCGACAGATCGTTCGACGCGCCAAGACGTTCGTCGCATTCGGTAATGAACTTTACAAGCGAAGTCCGTCAGGAATACTCATGAAGTGCATCCCTACCAACCAAGGGAAACAGCTCCTCCTCAAGGTCTATGCCGGAATCTGCGGACATCACGTGGCCCCAAGGTCGCTGGTCGGAAAAGCCTTTCGCCAAGGTTTTTACTAGCCCACCGCGCTACGAAATGCAGATGAGGTCGTCCGCAGGTGCGAGGGATGCCAGTTCTACGCTTGGCAAACTCATTTGCCGCACAGGAGCTTCAAACCATCCCCATCACCTGGCCGTTAGCAGTCTGGGGCCTCGACATGGTAGGACCCCTCAAAAAGGGCCCGGGCGGCTTCACTCACCTACTCGTAGCAGTGGACAAATTCACCAAGTGGATAGAGACGAAGCCCATCACCAACATTCGTTCGAAAGAGGCGGTCAAGTTCTTCCTCGACATCATCTATCGTTTCGGTGTTCCTAACTGTATCATCACTGACCACAGAACTAACTTCACTGGGAAGAAGTTCCTGGACTTCTGTGATGGATACGGCATTAGGATCGACTAGCCATCGGTCGGACATCCACATACTAACGGTCAGGTTGAGCGGGCCAATTGCATGGTCCTACAAGGACTCAAGCCTAGCATTTTTACCGACTCAATAAGTACGCCGGACGATGGGTTGCAGAGGTCCCAGCGATCCTCTGGAGCCTGAGAACGACGCCGAACCGATCCACAGGGTTCACACCCTTCTTCCTCGCCTATGAAGCTAAAGCAGTGTTGCCCTCCGACCTCGACCATGGCGCCCCAAGAGTGGAGACTCAGCAGGACGCGGTCGACCTGCTCGAGGAGGCTCGCGAGACGGCCGTCATCCGCTCCGCTCGCTACCAGCAAACTCTCCGCAGGTACCATGAAAGGAAAAAATCAGAGGGAGGATCCTCGAGGTCGGAGACCTCATACTCCGAAGAACCCAATCAACCAAGGAGAAACACAAACTCTCTCCCCCATGGGAATGTCCCTATACAGTGACCAAGGTGATCCGACCAGGCGCTACCAACTGAAGGACGATAACGGCAACGTTCTCACCAACACTTGGAACATCGAACAGTTACGTCGTTTCTTCTCCTAAAAATTCGGTCTTACCACTTTCTTTCATTTAACGTTTGCTCCTACAAGCACCCTAGCCCGAACACTTTCGGCCTGGGTTGCTCGGGGGCTCCACAAGGGTGCGATACCACCTCTCTTTTTTACTATCGTATAGTAAATACTTTTTACCCGAACGAAAGGGTAGTCCGTTCCTTTAATTACCCTACATAACTTTATTTTAAATTTCCGACCGATCACACCCCGCCACGACCTACGGTTACGAGCAACCGAGCCTCGTGGGTCACGCCCGGGTTCTTAAGGTTGCAGCCTACGGGTCAAATAGGCAGGTGCGAAAAAGAAAGGATAAAAAACAAAGCTATGCTAGGATAAAAACAAAGAACAGATGGGACATGCTTCCCCTTATAAGTGATTCCATCACAAAATAAAATTGATGTATTCATCAGTATACAAACAATTGTTCACACGGGGGCTTCCCCACGAATTTATCCTTTACATATGCTGATTACTTCTACTCTAAATTATACTGTGGCCGCTCGGTGGCATCGGCTGACGGCGCGACCGACGAAGATAAGGGCTGCTCGCTCTCCGACGGGGCGACGTTCGGTTCGGTCGGAGGCAGGACAACGCTCGCTTCCGACCCGGCTTTCACTCCATCCGCTGGCTGGATGACGTCCTCTTGACACACGCCTTCGGCCACGCTCGCACGGTGAGCCTCCATCACCCAATGTGCGGAGACTTGCTCGGCAACCATCTGCGCGCATGACACCAAGCTCTCCCCGAGCACGTGGATGGCGTCCGCGCTCCAGCCGTCGGCGTACCCTCTACAGATTGCGGCGAAGTCCAGGTCCGGGTAGTGCGTCGCCACTGAGGTCAGCACCCCCGACGTCCTGTAGAACATCCCGTCGGAGATGAGCGCCTGAACCTCGTTCGGGACCTCCGCCAGCTGGATGGCGGGCGTGCTGGTGCTCGGCGCCGACCCGAACACCTCCGAAACAACGACCTGGGCGACGTTGCGGATCTGGTCAAGCCCCCCCCCCCTTTGAGAGCACGTCGCTCTTTAAGGGACTTGGCCAACGCCTCCGCGCTCCGACCGATCGCCGCTTTGGCTGTCTCCAGTTCCCGCTCCAGCGATTCAATCCTTCCGTCCAGTTCTGGAAAAAGCACGACAAGTTCATAAGCAAGGGAAAGGAAAAAACCAAGACATCAACCAAAGGCGTAACAGGTACGTACCGAGGCAGGTGTTCTCGAGGATGGAGAGTCCTTCCTCCTGCCGGGTCACCTTCTCGAGCAGCCGAGCGTTCGACTCCTCCATCCCAAGCACTTGCCCCCGAGCGCGAGCACTTCCCGATCGACCTCCGACCGGGCCTTCCGCTCCGTCTCCAGGGTCTCCAAGGACTTCTGGAGCGCCTCCTCGGTCTCCGTCAGGTGGACCTTCGCCGCCGCGAGTCCCTGCTCGACAACGGTCGCTCGTTCCGCCACGAGCAGCTCCGCCGCCCGCAAACTTCGAGGACCTAGACTCAGGAATAAAGTCACCGACCGACTCAAATTAGACGTAGGGCACGTTGTCTGAACCAGTATAAACCCTGTGTCATTGAGTGCTAGGCCACATCCGATCACAACGTACAGCAAAACGACAAATATTTACTAGTTAGTCACTTTTTGCACCGACAGATACGCTCTTTGAGTTTCTCAAGCGTCTCTTCTTGTTCCCCAATCTTTTTATCAACATCATAAACCCACGCCCAAGCCAACTTTTTCTTCAAGTTTTCAATCTCGTGTGCTATTTCTTCAATATGTTCCATATTCTTTATCTTCTCCTGAATTTCATCAAGTTCTCCGAGCAATGGCGTAATTTACGCTTCCAGATCTTCAACTATAGAGTCCGCAATGTTCAGGTTGTCTCTTATTGTAGCAAGCAAGTCATTCACTTGTCCAAGAAGCGTGGCCTTGAAAAAGAACTGAAGCAAAACAGAAATGTATGAACAGTAAAAACTAATGAGGCCAGTTATCAGTTATATTAGGAGAGCATACAGAATGCACAGGTGCAGCACACATTTAAACTAACTTAATGACTGAAGCCTAATTGCTCAAGTTTATCTAAAATGGTATGGTATATTCTGAAATCTGGCCTATCAATAAGTTGAGCATTATCTTATTCATGAAACAGAAATCAGCAAATAATTCAGCAAGAATGAAAATATACAATGTCCAGGCCACTGAGAGGCACATGAATTTGCATACGGCAATAATAGACTACTGAAAGGCACATGAGTAAGGCATAGATGCTCGATTGCATTGTTAAAAAATTGCACAAAGAGTGGTGTGAAACTAAAAATTTTGATTACCTTGAACTTGTCCTTGTTATTTCCTGAATATAAAAACTCTCTGCTTTTGTCTTGACTCATAATTACACAAGGGTTTTCAACTTCAATCTGAAAATTTCATCAAAAAAAACTTCAATCTGAAAAGTCACACAGATGTATCACAATGCAGACAACATATATCTGGTAATCACATTACAAATAAGTACTCTAACAGAAAGGTATAAAGATGAAAACAATTAGATATCTATAGAATGAACTCATGATGATGTACCAACTTTTTCACCACAAGCATCCATAAATATACACCAAGCTTTCAAGAAACTAGAAATGATTTATATTATCAACATCAAGGCATGCAGAGCTCCTACATTGCTGACTGAATTTGCTCCCGTACCATGTTGGATGTGTGTATTGTATAGCAAAACTTCACCATGTGCCTTAAGCACTCAAGAGAGTGTGGCAATTATTAACTTCATTAACAATCATACAATCATATTTTGCCTATTTCGAACCAGTACTCCACAGAAAAACAAATAATGAAGAGGCACCAAACTACCAAGCAAGTCAAAAGGACAAGAGTGTTCTAAGCAACAAGCAACTTACGTTCAAATGTTCAATTATTTCATTTAGGTCATCCTTGCGATGCGCCACCTTCCTCCCTGTTCCAATACATGCAGACATTAACAGTTGATATAACATAAGAATTCATGGGGAAATCTAAAAGAGCTGATAAAAAATAAAGCTATTCTCTTAGTCCCGTTTGGCAAATTTACCACAATTATCAATTGGTTAATTCATACTTACTGCGATTTCAAATGTCAGCCCGTAATTCTGGTCAAAAGCCATTGTCACATCCAAGACGTACAATGTTTCATTTCTTGTTTAATAGAATTTTAGCTATACATGATGGAAGTGAAGGGTAACACATAAAAACCAGGTGCTCTGAGTATAATTAAATGGTGGGAGGGCAGAATGTCTGCGATTTAAAAGCATATAGTAAGAAGCCAACAATTTAAGAGCATGTGAATTTTTTGCCTACTTGGAAGTGGGTCATGATACTTGTCACAAGAAAGGTAGTGGCAACTAAGAAAGGGAGAAATGCAACAGTCTAATATTTTAAAGGGGCATTTGCATGTTGCCACAACTTAGAAGGCTAATTACCAAAATGTTTGAACCACTGCCCCAACTTTGATTAGAAACCAAGGACAATGGTGCTAACATTTTGGAAACACCAAGGCCTGCGGTGCAAAGTGCAAGAAAAGAAAGGAGGGAACTCAATACCATGAGAAGCCTCTATTGTAAAACAACCTTACAAGAGAAAAAGTGACCAAAAAAGGCAGCAGTATAATTAATAATCTCAAAAACTACATTAATGTTAAAGCAAATAGCACGGGCTATTAGAATGAAAACACGGCCAACAATTGACAACTTGGTGCCAGCAACTTCACCCAAGAAACGCCACTTGCAATTGAAGAACACGACCAACAATCAGGGAGGCTAGAACAAGTAGTTTTACCATGTTGATCCTTCAAAGCTGTAGAACTGGTTGATTCAGTAATCCTGCGTTCCAATATAATAGTGTTCCCATATAGTTCAGGCTTAAACGCATCTTCCCCATGGTTATTAATATCTACAGTAATTGCTGCATAGCTGGAGTAGTAGAGAAGATGAAAAAATTAGACCAGGTTACAGCTGGTTGCAAAAAGGAGACACGAAACCTTAAGTGAAGGTTGTACGGTGAAGAATATGTGTGGCAGATTAATTATCCACTCTATGCATGAAAACTGTCGAGAAATTTTCTTTATGCTTTTTAAAAATACAATATATTGTAAAGGCCTTGAGCTTGAGGAGCATATTGGGAATATACTAGGTGTAGGTGTGTGGCACAATATTTGCAGTTCTCCATAATCATAACTCATCTGTATCTATTAGCCACATAGCTCAACGCAGTAACAGAAGTCCACAAAGGTCGTTAGAGCATCTTCAAGAGTTCCCTAAACTTCTCTCTAATCCTTGGTTTTTAGAAAGATGTGAAAAAATCTCTCTCCAACAACTCATAATACAATCTCCTAATATTTTAGGAGTTGGGAAAAATCCCCCTCATCCACGTAACTTTACGCGCCGTACACTCATGCATATCCTCCGTGGCGCAAAGGTCGCGACGTTTTCTTCGTTCCCGTGCCCTTCCTTTGCCGTGGTTTCCGTCGTCGCGCCATTGTTCTTCGTCGAGGGCAGAGGATCTTCGCCGCTGCCGACCAAGGAAGAGGTAAAAACTATCGATCTACTACCATCTCATCTCGATCTCGTGGTGTTCCTCCGCTTGGCGGGGCCGACTAGAAAAAAAGCTTGGACGGTTGGCTCCGGATGCGTCTCTGGCCGTCCACCGCCGCCGCCTGATTTTTACTTGCGTTTCCATTGTTCGTTTCCACAGTGCGAATCACCTCCCCGTTTTTAGTCAAGAATAGCTGCTGGAGCCCATGGAGGTGCAGGTGGTGACGACGGAGGAACCGAGGGACCCGTTCTTGCCGCTGCGGTGGGAGAGCACGGGCGACCAGTGGTGGTACGCCACGCCCATCGACTGGGCGGCGGCCAGTATAGATGTGCAACGGGCCGGCACGGCCCATGGCGTGGGAGGAGGCGACGGCAACGCCAACCGCCTCCTCCGGGCCGGATACGGCGGATGGCTCCTCTACACGGCCACCGCGGCCGGGGACGAGAGGTTTGTGCGGGAGCTGCTCGCGGCGCAGCCGCTGCTCGTCTTCGACGAGGGGGAGTACAGCGTCACCGACATCCTGTACGCCGCGGCGAGGAGCGGAGGCTCCGAGGTGTTCCGCCTCCTGTTCAATGCCGTGCTGTCTGCGGCGTCGTGTCCGGCTCCGGTCGGGGGTGACGAATTTAGGCGCGAGATGATGTGCCGCGCCGTGCACGCCGCCGCGAGGGGAGGCAGCCTTGACGTGCTCAGGGACCTCCTGCACGGCTGCTCCGACGCCGCGGCCTACCGGGACGCGCAGGGATCAACCATCTTGCACGCCACGGCTCCTACTAGATGGCCGGCTGGGAGCTAGCAAGTTGCGGCGGCGGCAAGGAGGTCGTGGCGTGAGAAAGGGTTCAGCGCTCCCCTGTGCACTCCCACGGTAAAAAAAAGAGAGCCATTTATTAGAAACTCTTGGAGATAGTTTTCTTTTTTCCTCCCAATATCTTTTTAGAAGTTGTAAAACTACAAGATTTTAGGACGAAAAAATAGGAAACTCTTGGAGATGCTCTTAGCCCTAAAACCGATTTAACTCTTTCTTTAGAAAATCATTAACTAAAAATTAACATTCAGGTCTAAAGGAAGAAGGGGAGGAAAGAGAGAAGGCGAACGCAACCTGCAGCTGGTCTTGATGAAGTCCTTGAGGGAGGCGGCGCGCTGGGTGTTCTTAGTGCGGCAGCCGAAGGCGACGCAGAGGGACGTGAGGATGGCGCTCTTCCCACCTGCGTCGCCGCGTCGTAGGAGAAGAGAAGGGCATCATTCGTCAGGAGGCACCGCGATAAATGGGGAGAGGGATGGGGGGTTAGGGTTTGGGAGGCGTACTTCAGTTCTGGCCGGTGATGAAATTGACGTGCTGGTCGAGCTCGATGTGGAGGCTGGAGTGGCACATGAAATTCTCCAGCCGGATGCGGGAGATCATCCCCGCCGCCATCTCCGGCGACCACGCGACGCCTTCTCTCTCCTCGCCGGTTGACGGGCATTTCGGTGGGATGAAGCCCGCCAAAACCCCCAAAAATAGCCACGGGGCGTGGGGAAGTTGGATGGGCTTGCCGCTTGCGAGAAATTTTAAAAATATATTATTTCTTTGCATATAAGAAAACTTTGTTTCTCTTATTACTGGATGACATCCGCCCGCGTGTTGCTGCGGGAATTTTTTTTAGCATTGTAGAATTTTTTTTTGACGCGAAAAAATCCCATTCCCATTAAAATCAACGGAAATACAGCAGTTTTAAGAGTTTACAGAGCAGATCAAGATCGATACAGAAAATAACAGCCACTACTCAGCCGGGCGCCTGCCTCAGACGCGAAACTAAGCAAAAAGGAACGTCCAGCTACGATCAGCAAGATTGGGTCACACGCCCTGAAGACCCATAACTGGCAAAAGCAATTTAACAGGTAACATCACAACTACCAAAACATGCAGCCATCGGACACTGGTCTCACATCGCCGCAAAGACTTCAAGCATCTTGATCGTCGCTCTGATCATCCCTCAGCAACGCTTGATCTTGCTTCGCCTTCTTCTTCGCCGTCAGCTTCACCGCTATCGCCAGCGTGGTGTTGATACCCGCTTCTAAAGCTTCTCTGTCCGCCCCCAGGAATAAGCCTGCCCAGTAACCCATGAGCGCACACACATAACAAATAATAGTAGTATGATTTGTCACAATTTGGCCTTCAAAGCACACAGAATTTCGCGTCTTCCATATGGCCCAGCAAATGGCAGTAACACCCAAAGTGTGAAATTGCTTGCCAGCAGGTATCCAGTGCTCACACCAGAGCCAACATTGATCAAGAGACCTGGGGATGTTTGTCGCCCCTAACGAGTGAGCTACAATGGCCCAGACCGCCTTAGAAGTGCTACACTGAAATAAAAGATGTTGAGCATTTTCATTTTCACTACAAAAATAACAGGTAGGCCTCCCAGGCCACTTTCTTCTACTTACGTTATCTTTGGTTAAAATTGCCCTGTTCATAGCAAGCCATAAGAAAATCTGGATCTTGGAAGGAATTTTCCCTTTCCAAATCATTTTATGATACGGCCCGGCATCATTCACAGTCATAGCCTTATAAGTAAGCCTAGGGATTCGGTTACTTGGTTCGGTTTCAGTTCGGTTCCTCGGTTATTGAAGAAATTTGATTTCTAGAAAATGGAAACCGATCGGTTTCAAAAAAATTTAGGAACCGAGTATTTCGGTTTTCGGTTCTGGTTCTAACCGAGCTAACCGATTTTTTTCGGCAGAGGTTAATACAACAAAAAAAAGTATAGGTTTTAAAGCAAATTTAAGCAACATTACATCTATTTTAGATAATAATAATTGATAAGAGAACAATAGCAATATACACTACCGGACAGAGCATCTTTGCCGAGGGCCTGAGAATTTGCCGAGGGAAAATGCTCGGGCACTCGGCAAGCCCTCGGCAAAGACTCTTTGCCGAGGGTCTGGCCCTCGGCAAAGACAAGCACACCGCAACAATAATTATTTGTCGAGGGCTAAACCCTCAACAAAGGCCCGGCCCTCGGCAACACCGTCTGACACGATGTCCATCCCCTACCGTCAATCTTTGCCTAGGGCATCACCGTTAGACCCTCGGCAAAGACTTTTTAACCGTTTTTGAAAATTTTCTTTTAAAATTTTTTTTGTCGAGTGCCCCTGGACTAGCACTCGGCAAAGACAGTCTTTGTCGAGTGCCAAGCTGGCACTCGGCAAATTTTTTTTTTTTTGTTTTTTTGACCCCAAATTTTTTGTTGGGTCCGCCTACATTGTTTACAACTTCTTGTTCAAATTTGGTGTTTTTTCTAGTTTTTTTGTTATATTTGGTTGATTAATTTGATTATGTTGAATTTTTATATATAATTTAAATTTGAACGGTAAGTGCATGGAATATTGTAATCTAGTGCTTCGAAAAATGTTATTCATGGTATTTGGTGTATGTTGAGTCTCTATCCACGAACTCGCATCAAATTTCGCGCATCTTTTTCAAGTAACATGACGAGCCACTTGCCGGAAAAGTGTTTTAAAATTATATAAAGTCCATACGAAGTCCGAAAATCATGAAACTTGTCAAGATGTCATGTTATCGCATGTGTAGGCTGTGGTAAAAAATTGAGAATGTTTCGAGCAAGTTGCGACGTCAGATGTATAAAACCCAGACATCTCCACATGTAAAATACTTTTCCGGCGAGTGGCTCGTCATGTTACGTGAAGAAGATGTGCGAAATTTGATGTGAGTTCGTGGATAGAGACTAAACATACACCAAATACCATGAATAACATTTTTCGAAGCACTAGATTACAATATTCCATGCACTTGCAGTTCAAATTTGAAATAGTCGGAAAAATTCAACGAAACAAAACTAATTAAGGAAATAAAGTAAAAAAACTAAAAATTGTCCCAAATTTTGAAATGGAGTTTTAATTATTGTAGCAAGGCCCCAGAAAAAAATGGGACGAAAAAAACAAAAAAAATTAATCAAAGAAGCCTTTGCCGAGCGCCAGGTCACAGGGCGCTCGGCAAAGAATTTTTTTAAAAAAATAAAAAAACCTTTGCCGAGTGCCGCTGGGCCTGGCACTCGGCAAATCTTTCAACCTAAAGGCCCAGAATGGGCCGGCCCAACCCCACCCCCTCCTCACTCATCTCCCACCCGCCCCCGCGTCGCCGCGCCGCCGCCGCCGACCCCGCCATCGTCCCCCTCCGGCGAGGTCCTGCCGGGCCCGCCCCCGTCCCGCGCCCCCCGCCCCCGTCCTGGCGGCGCTCGCCCCGGCACCCTGCCGGCGCTCCCGCCCAGCCCTGGCGGCCCCGCGCCCCCGCCCCGGTGGCCCCGCGCCCACGCCCGCGCCCCGGGTCCCCGGCCGCCGCCCCAAGCTCGCCGGCGCCCCGGGCTCCGAGCTCCCCGGGGACAGCGACCCGGCCGGCCCCGAGCTCCCCCACCGGCCCCGAGCTCCACCAGCCCCGTCGTGCCCTGCGGCCGGCCAGCAGAGGGAGAAGGAGAGGAGCAAGAGGAAGAAAGAGAAGGGGGAAGAGGAAGAGGAAGAAAGAGAAGGGGGAGGAGGAAGAAGAGGAAGGTGCCGACCCGACCGCCCGTCGATCCTCATGCCGTTCCGACCGCCCGTTGATCCTCGCGCTGTTGCGGTCATCCCCGCCGTCGTCGTCGGCCCTCGCTCTTGCCGTTCTTGCCGCCAAGGTAAGCCCTACCCTTGTAGTGTTAGTAGTAGTAGTAGTTAGTAGTGTTAGTAGTAGTTAGTTGTAGTGTTAGTAGTAGTAGTTAGTAGTGTTAGTTGTAGTGTTAGTTATAGTAGTTAGTAGTGTTAGTTGTAGGGTTAGTAGTAGTAGTAGTAGTTAGTAAATAGTAGCAGTTAGTAAGTAGTGGTGGTTGTTAGTAGTAGTTAGTAGTGTTAGTTGTAGGCTTAGTAGTAGTAGTAGTTAGTAAATAGTAGTCGTTAGTAAGTAGTAGTGGTTAGTAGTAGTAGTTGTTAATAGTTAAGTAGTTCTTAGTATTAGTACTGTTAGTAGTTAAGTAGTTGTTAGTAGTAGTGTTAGTAGTAGTTGTAGGGTTAGTAGTAATTGTTGTTGTACTACTTCAATACTTTCATCTGCATGGAAAGAGAACTAAAGTACATGGCTCCTCTTGATATATTGGTGGTTGTTGGCCTTCGTGCCCATGTTTGGTATATATGTGGTTGTTGGCCTTTGTGCCATGTTTTTTGTAGGTTTTAGGAACCTCCCCGTGCAGGGGAGGTGCTGTCGAAATTTTGAGTCGACACTAACCATTTTTGCCCTTTTTTGCAGGAGGACCTGTGGGAGGGACTCGGCGACCCCGATCGTCTTCATCGGCGCTGCGGGTCTTCCTGCACCGCGTCAACTCGCCACTGCACCGACTCTCCACCGCCCCGCTACCCTGACCTCACCGGCACCCTAGGTATAACCCCTCTATCCGTATGTGGTCTTTGGTCGAGTAACCTAGTTAGGTGTCTCCCATCCGAAAGAGATACGGTTGGAGGTATACAGATCTTTGTATATCTGCGACCATATCTGTTTTGGATTGTCCACGTTTTTTGGATAGCCCGCGGATGCGTAGATGGGTTAGTTTCCATGGTTTGCTCCGGTCCGAGATGGTGTTTCAGCATCACCCCCTATTTTTCTCTGGATACACACTCTCCCTTGCAGGACGTGCATCGGGAGAACAGCGGGGAGGTGATGCCAAAATTCTGTCTCGGATAGGGAGCGGAGCATGGAAACTAACCTCATCTATGCATCCGCGGGTGGGATTAGGACCTATCCTCACCTATTAGAGAGTAGGAACACCACATAGATGC